CATTAAAGATATTGTCAATGAAATCTTGTAAAACGAACCAAACGAGTGTGACACCACAGACTGTTTGTTATCTGCGTGTCTATATAATATGCTATATAATTGCCAAACCCTACCTAATTTGCATAATTTTTTTTAATTTAAAAACCCCTAGCCCTTATTCATTCACATACCAAAAATGAGCAAAGTCCGTTGAACCTGAACTGACTAATGGCAATTCCCATTTTTGCCAAAAAATTGCCGTGGCTCGAACGTACGTCGACTGGCGTGCTCCAAAATAGGACGTTTAATATGGGAGCACAGCAGTAACAACTATACCCAATTTCAAACATGTGGGTCAAACGATTCCTGAGTTATAGTTGACCGTAGCCAAATGTTGACGGACGTACGACGACCCATGGCAATAGCTCAGCTTGACGATGTCAAGGTGAGCTAACCGGACGGACGTATGACGGACGACGACCCATGGCAATAGCTCAGCTTGACGATGTCAAGGTGAGCTAACCGGACGGACGTATGACGGACGACGACCCATGGCAATAGCTCAACTTGACGATGTCAAAGTGAGCTAAAAATATGAAACTCTAAGCCACTTACCAAAAAAGTCTCCCTCCTCGTCGCTGTCTCCGCCCATCTCGCTTTCGAGCTGCGCCGTCATGGCAGCGATCTTACGCTCGGCCTCCGTCGGGCCCTTGGTCCTCGGTGGCGTAATGTGGTATGGGAGAGGTAGCCTTGGCTTGGGGCTTGCCGGAGAGTGAGGCGCGGACCTCTGTGGTGATTCGATGGGCATCGGCGGCGGGAGGCGAGCGACGCCGTTCGGCGCGCCGTACGCGAGGCGGCTCGCGCGCTGGTGAACGGCGTTCTGCAGCTGCGGCGGCTGGCTGTAGGCGGCGTTGGTGGCGTGCGCGAGCGTGACGGGCTGCGGGGGCGCGCGTGGAGGCCGCGCCGCCGCCTCCTGCTCGTCGTAGAAGACCTCGCGCTGTGGACTGTCGTCGCGCGCCTTGTGCACGATGTGGCGCTCGTAGGCGGCGGCCGCCGCCGCGACGTTCGAGCGCGCCTGCGGCTTCGCCTGCATGATCGGCCGGCCGAGCGCGTCGATGGGTCGGCCGAGCGATGAGACGCTGCTGCGCGGGCTCGCGTGCTGAGACTCCTGCGAGTCGGCACTCGAGTCGCGCGAGGCGTAGCTGCCGCGGCCGAACGGACCCGGGTCGCTGACGTCCGAGTGCACGATGACGCTCGACTGCGGACTCGAGCTGCCAGACTGGACGCTGGACGAGCGCGGACTGGACGAGTCGTAGATGTGGTTGACGACAGTCATCGGCCGCGAGGGGCTGTGCACGGGGCTGGCGACGCTCTCGCGCGGACTGCTGTACGGACTCGACTTCGGACTCGCCTGGTACTGGTACGTCTTCGGGTACAGCTGCGGCATGCGCGGGATGAGGCTGGGGCCGGCGCCAGGGGATCCGTTGGCGACGGCCGCTACACGACCCGCGCTCGCCCCGGCACCGTACTTTGCCGAGTAGAGGATCGCCGAGCGTTCACTCGCCGGCGACAGCAGCTCGGGCGTGGTCGGATCGGCCGCGCCGCGGCTCATCGCCTTGACCGGGCTGACGACGGCCCTGCCCAGCGGCCGGCCGCCGTGCACCTCCCCCCTGCCGGCCGCGCACTCGTCGTTGGAGAATCTCGCGTGGTGGCGCATCGGGCTGCCGCTCCTCGGACTGCCCGCATAGCTGCCCGGCGATGGCGGCCGGAAGTCCTGCTGGTTCACGTACATCTCGAGCTTCTTGTGAAAGTCGTGGCCGTGCGTCGCCGCCCTGAACTTACCCCGCGCCTCCGCCTCGAGGATGCTCAGGTCTTCCATGAGCTTTGTCGCTTCACGACCGAGTTCTTCCCCATAGTCTGTCATGGCTTCTACAGAAATCATGTACAACTCTTGAGCATCCTGAAAGACAACGTCGGTTTTATTCGTACGCACTCGTACGCATTGCTACACTGTTCAATACACTGTTCATTCGCAAGTCTGCTTAGAATACACACACACTGTGAAATCATTCACACATTGTAGCTAATTACAATAACCATCACAATTAATAATGCAAATGTTGGCTGTCAGATAGCAAGTTGCCTGTAACACTTTATTTTCGTTTATACTCATATAGCAGACCAAAATAGTGTCATGTCGGTTAACCTAACCGAAGGAAAGTTGTCCGTCTACACCACAGACGTTCTATCCGAGTTTATTAAATTATGATAACTGACAGCTTTGAAGATAATTTAAGGTCACGTGACTGCGAGTTTTCTGTTTACTACTTTAGACGGCACTGCCACTGTGGAACCCGGAGTGTGTGTAAATACGTTTTGTTATTTCCACGCGCAAGCAGCCAAAAGTTAAAACTTATCTCTAGGAGTTTGAACCTGATCGCCTAACTATTCACGTCAAGAATCGAGCCTGAACATGTTTGCATTTATTCTTTCTAATGTGCTAATTCTTTCAATAGGGGTCGAAATTAGATTTTTATTATGGTATCCATTCGGAATACCAGGTATTGAAATCTGGTATCCCCCCCAAAGATTTGGTATCCCATTTTTTCGATAGTAATTTTAACAATTGTTTGCCTTCGAAACTCATCGCTCGCATTCATTTTACATATGCCTCCACAGTACACTGCAGACGTATTGTCTAGACGCATTGTCTGGTTCGCTTGATACAATGTATACACATCACATTTACGCTGGCGCTTGCAAATTATTACGCTATGCCTGCTGTATAACGCTAGAGTGGCCTGCGGTGATCGCGCGCACTAGCTCAGATGTGCTGCCGTATAAAGTTGATAACTCAACAACCACTATCCCGATTTTGACAATTTTTTTTTTACTATCCCGGCGGGATACCAAGCATTGAAATCTGGTATCCAACACAAGAATCTACTATCCCGCGGATATCGGGATACCGCTAATTTCGACCCTGGACTTTTGTCTTTGTGATACTGTACCATCAGTTGCCATGAGAGAGTCCTTTAGAAGCAGTTTCATCGCATAGTTTATTATACATTAACGATTATTGTTTTTCATATTGAAGAATAGCTTGTTTAATGCTAACGATGTAACAATGTATATGCCTATGCAACATACACCCTAGCTATCTGTAAATAAACCCGAAATTCCTTAATTTCACAATTACACTGTACTTACAAGGTTACTAGTACCATAGTCATGCATATAAATATTAATTGGATTAGTTTTCAAAACTATAAATAATGAAACAAATAAAACAATGCACCACATTGCCAATTTCATATCAATGTTGTAAGTTTGTAGTAATCATAACTAGAATAAAAGTATTATGAATAACTTCGATATAGAAAATAGAAATCAATACCACATTTTCTCTAACAATTAACCTCAAATTAATGTGTATACTGAAATTTACATGGGTTATCAGGGTTCTCCAAGCTTTTTCATTATAGCATGACGGGTGCTGCCTTTACGGTCCTAGTTGCAAATCGCAGAAGGCGGTTTGCGTGCTAGGGGGGTCCGGGTGCTATGATATTTAGAGTGGCAGGTGCATTTTAGGATGGCGGGGCTCGTCGATAGCCTGGCGGGCTGCCAGGCTATAAGTGCTCTTGGAGAACCCTGGTTATGACTTAAGGTTGTCGGGCAAAATTGCCAAACACAACTACATAATCAATTCTGCGATGATTGCACTCTAAAATCTATGAAAACTGAATGTTAAAAGCCAGTGAGCCTGTGAAAGTTTGAGTGCCATGCGTATCGCTTGATACCGTTGACCATAAAATTCTACTAGCCAAGCTAAAAACGATCGGAATGAATATTAGTACTGTGTCTGTGAAATGGTTCGGTGCTTATCTCTCTGGTAGAAGCCAAATAACTGATGTAGGAGGTACCCTCTCTAATAAGGACCCTATATTGCATGTGGAGTACCACAAGGCTCGATTTTGGGTCCTCTGTTATTTCTGATTTATGTTAATGACATGTCAAAGGTAGTTAACGTCAAGCTTTTATTATATATGCTGACGATTCGGCCTCAGTAGTTTCAGGGACAGAGGTACTGGCTATACAGGAAGAATTAAGTAGAGAATTGCATTCCATTAATAAATGGTTCAATGATAATAATTTATCCTTGCATCTTGGAAAAACAGAAAGTATTATTTTTGGAACTAAACACAAACTCAGGGATAATCCAAAACTGGACATCAGATGTAATGGGGTGGCAATTGCACATAAAAATACAGTTAAGTATCTAGGAATAGACTTGGAAGACTCCATGAGTGGTGAGGTAACGGGAATTAAGGTTGTGAAAAAGGTTAACAATAGATTGAAATTTCTTTCCAGAAAAGCTAAGTATTTAAAGTTTTTAAACACTGCATTTAAAAGATTACTAGTTTCTGCCCTAATTCAATGTCATTTTGACTATGCAAGCAGTATATGGTACAGCAGTCTCACAAAGCTCACAAGGGCTAAGCTGCAAGTGTGTCTAAATAAAGCCATTAGATGTGTTCTCAAACTAGGTACTAGAGCACGTTCAAGGCTGTAAATTGGGTACCTGTAGAGTTCAGAGTAATGCAAATGAAGGTCAATAGGGTTTTTAAAATATTACATAATCTCGGCCCACAGTATATGACAGAAGGTTTTATGTTAACGTCAGTCTATAGTTTCAATACAAGGGAAGGTGAGATGTCTATTTTTAAACAGAGGGTGGGAAGCAGTGGGAAAAACTCTTTTACTTATACTACAATTGAAGCTTGGAACTCTCTGCCACAGCAAGTTAGGACAAATTCTGTTTATTCTAGTTTTAAGTATAGTGTTAAGAAATGTCTGATGGAAAAGGTAGAAACATTAGAGGCAGAGGAGTATGATTTTCGCTAAAATAATTCAGTTGAAATTAGGCATAAGAAAAGTTTGTATCATCTTATGAGAATGTACCATTCTATGACCGGTTAAAACTACAAATTTGTATATTTCAATAGTTAGTGCTGATAGTAGTGTAATTGTTAGATTCAAAGCATAGCAAAACAAGGACCACAATGTAAATAAATGTGCTAGTCATGCTTTGTGTGTATATATCCTTGGTAGTTATCCAATTTTATGAATTCAAAATTTTATTGTAAAAGTATGCTATGTATTGTATATGATGCATAATTGCCTAAATAAATAAATAAATAAATCGCATATATGCATGATAAACGGTTGCATTGAAATTGAAAGAAATCATGACAGAAATTCATAAATTTATTATAATGAAAAATATATACACAGCACATGCTACATGAAGGGTAGCTCCAAGAAACGATCTTTGCTAATGGCGCCGTCACACCTCCGTATGAAAGCCAGCGTATACCGACGTATGAAAAATTTGGTGAATACGCTGGCGTACGTCGAATAAGTTATGTGTAAGCTTTGTATAAGTTAAGAGCATGCTGAAGCACGCTGGTATACGTCGTAGTACGGAGAGGTCGTCGGAAAATTTTCAGCATGCTCAAAATTTTCCGACGTATGCCAGCGTATGCCCATACGTCCCGCATACGCGGGCCATAAGTTGTAGGTAAGTTATGCGATCGTTGACACACGTTGACACACGTTACTTGTAAGTTACTCATAAGTCGAAATAATGTCTAGCGTACCCAAAACTGTTATTTCTAACCTATGCAGTAACCTGCTCTTGAACTATGTGTAACTTGTATCTCCCAGCGCATATTGACGTATGTAGACGCCATTTGACTTGTCCGGAGCGACCACCAGAACTCTACTAGACGGGTTTTCTAACTACAGCTACCGTATAATGGTGTGATTGGCAGACGTTAGGGAA